AACTTAAATTTCAAAAGCTTCCTTTCTGCACAGCACGATGACAACACACAAACGCGCTGAAATAATCGATTAAGAGCCAAACAGAGTTCCTCCCTCACCTCATCTAACTTTAAGGTAAGAACAGGTGACATATTCTCCAGTCTTCCGCGACAACATGGAAGAAAGCCAGTTGAAGACCTAGATATGGAGGTATAGCCGCAAACGCTAATCACTCGTATTTCAAATTTTACTAGAACAAACTTGACACATTGTTGAATACGGTAACTGAAAATGACAAAATTACAAACACGCGAATGAGCATAAAATAACTTACATCGTATGAGTGAAAGTACTGGAAAACGACAAAGCGAGATAAACAAGGATACTTACAAGACGAATGTGACCAACCCAAAGACGAAAACATGAAACCCAGAGCTAGATATGTAACGGTAATTTTCACAAACTAGACAACTAACCAAATAAATTACGCGCAACCAATATATATACGATATGCAAATAAATATAACAAGTACAAAACTGGTAACTGACAAAGGACACTAATGGAAGACGAGAAAATAAACACCTAACACGAAACTATGAAACACCAACACTAACAAAAAATGATAGTACAAATTCTTGCGCCTACAGGAGGAACGACTGCAGCAGTGCAGTCGAGTAAGCGGAAAATCAGTCGAACTCCCTCAAGAAATTTTCATTTCGAAAACCGATGGTATCGTTTTCAGCAAGATTAAAAAATTAGTATCCAAAAGTAGCAATCTCGACAAATTTGAAAGGAAACAGCTTAACTCAATTTGCATAATAGCTCCATTGCGCTTTATAAATGGCCAACGAAATTAACCAAATCGCACACATCGTTAAGTTGTAAAGATCCACAAAGGGTTAGAGGGACAACGAATGGGAGTTAAAATTGAGTGTTCACTCTCTTTACCCCATGACCAGGTTCACAATTCTATCATCTTTCTTACTACGCATGAGTAGATGACTCTCTACAATAAATGCATGCAACATTGCTGATCCTTCTGTACTTGACTATGCAGAACGCCTGTCACATTTGAGAGTGCTTTGATTGGCCTGACTCGCTAACAAGCCCTGCGGTTGAAGCAGTCGAATGTAAAACCTTATAGTCTGAGGATCGAATCCTCTCGAAACACTCAGATTTTTTCATTGTACCATTGTTGTACCAAATGTAAAATATCTTTCTCGAAACACTGTACACAACTGTGTGTATGGTAAAAAACAACAGCTCTGTCCTCACGCATATACACACTATTGTCGGAGAATTAATAATTCGCTTAATTATTATCCAGAAACCGTTAAAAAGCTAAGTTCTTCGGCTGACAGCAGTTTCATTTTTTCTCTCCCAATCTATGGGTTTAGGATGCATGCAATCGAATAGAGTGCTACTTTAAACGTTAAATGAAAGATCAAATTGTGATCTTGTCGCTCTTAAATTACGAATCACCTATCAATATAGCAAAAACACTTTTACTCACCTCATGGGGCCGACCAATGGTTGCTGTTGAAGGCATTTCCGCAGACTAAGAGCTACATTAAACAGCCAGTGTCCCGGTGCATAAAGTGCCAAAGCTACTAACAGTTTAATGCATAGGTCATGTGGCAAATTACCAATATATAACCCAGTGGTGTACGAACACAAGTTTTTCGCTCGTGTAGAGATACACCTTGTGTCTTCTAATGTACTGGCAGTTCAAAATCTTGTTCATGGAGAATGTTTCATGTCAAGAGTTTTGGTGAGAATCAAGCGTCTGCAGAGCAAACCCATCTTGATTCGTGATATTAGTGTTTTCCAGGTGTGGGTAACGACAGAAAACGGTGTCTGTTAGACTAGTCTCTGTTTTTATCCTTTATTGTTAATATTTATACACGAGGGCGAAATTAGCGAGAGTGGTTCCCCAAAATGGATGGTTATCATTGACTGGCCCATACATAGATTGACTATTGATCTTTTGGGCTAAGAAAATCGTATGACAGCCGCGAAGGAGACTATGGCTATTTTATTACAAAAAGATTTGCAATCTCGAGCCCAGTGTCATTTCGGCACCGCTAAAAAGGAGCCGAAATGACTCTGAGCTCAAGATTGAAAAACCCAATAGGATAACAAATTAAATAGAAATAAATACGTTATTGACCGAGTGAAAGGTCAAGTTGACAGGATATTGACCCAGTGGCGAATTCGCGAGCCACAAAAAACGCATATAAACTTTTTTCAGGCTCAAACACTTCAGTAAACATGCTTAACAGTGGTCTCCCCTATTTCTTTGCGTTAGCCAAGAAACGAAAGCTTTTGTTACAGATGTGTTCCCCTAAGAATACCTCAGTAAAATTTGCCTTTAAAAAACTCGTTAATGACGAGTAAAAATTTTTCCAAACCAAGTATTCTCCGTTATAATCGTTTACCAGATGCAAAACAAAATATAAAATTACTTTTTATGGTTCATTTACCACGGCGTCTAATCACTATTTTGACATGATGAGAGAAAACGCACGTTCTGTAACATCAATAAAAGACATTTGGCCTTAAAATTATATTTCTTACAGACCCTGTCATCGAGCAAGTTAAGAATTTATTCAAACATGGACACTAATCTGCTTTCTATAAAATACTTCGAATCAGCCGCGCACATGTAAACGGAAGTTCAGCGACTGAATAATGTTAAATACTTATTACCTATCGGATCCGCTCAATCAAACGCAAGTACTTGCGCAGAGAAAGCGTTCTAAAAGGTGTTATTATCATCGTTATTAATATCATCAACTTTTGGCGATTGAATCGTCTCTTAGCTGCTAAAAAAGCCACTCCAAAGATCCAAAGAATCACTCGTCATGACTCTTTTCATCAGTTCGGTTTACACAAATTCTCTTTTAAGAAACGTTTCTGGAAGCTGCGATCATGGAAAAATTATCTTACATGTTAAATGTTGAGAAAGATACTAAGTCCTAGATGAAATCACTCAAGAGTTCATAGGCTATTTATTCTTAATATTTGTCAGCAATGTTCAAAACTCCTAACGGGTACCGTTTACGGGATTGTCACTTTAACAGCTTTTTGAGACGCCTCTTACAAACACTGGTAATCTGAGAATTACTAAGCAAGTCCAAATATCCGACTTGACATAGCTCCGTCTGTAATGTCTGACATAGAGTGGCGACACCAGCATCGGTGACCTGATTATTATTCAGATAAAGGATGATGAGTTTACATGCTGCTGTCTGCAATGCTTGACAGAGACTGACAACACCAGCATCGGTAATCTGATTTTCTCCCAGATCAAGTTTAGTGATTTTTCATACTGCCGTCTGCAATGCTTGACATAGACTGGCAACACCAGTATCGGTGATCTGATTTTTTCCCAGATCAAGTTTGGTGACTTGACATGCTGCCGTCTGCAATGCTTGGCATAGACTGGCAACACCAGCATCGGTGATCTGATTTTTTCCCAGATGAAGTGTGGTGACTTTACACGTTGGTATCTGCAATGCTTGAGATAGACTGGCCACACCTGCATCGGTGATTTTATTACTTCTCAGGGACAGTTCAGTCACGTTAGTCAATGGCGACGATTCTGCAATCGTAACAACACATTCGTCTGCCATAAAACGGTAATGAAGGTCAAGAGAAGTCACAGTGCAGAGCTCGTTATTCAGAACTTTATATATTTGTCTTAATCCAGTCTTTGTAATATGACAATCAAAGAGACCCAATTCTTCCGGTGCTCTACTTGAGTGGTACGAGGATGTTTGACTCCTCTCTTCACACGGGACGACGCGCCTAAAAAGATTTAGTCGATTACCTAACGACCTGTGAAACTGTTGAAAGGTTAGTTGATTCATTTCAGCCTTTTCTTCTGTATTCAATGTACTAATGACATCTAACAGAAAAGAAACATCGATGCAGTCTAGTCCTTCAAATCTTATTTCATCAACATAAAAAAGCTGACGAATTTCTTGACGAAATTTAGTGCAAATTCTTTGTCATGGTACTCAGACAGACACTTCATTATAAGTCGCGGAGCCCAATATATAGCTCGAGTCCTTTGAATGAGTCCTCCGAGCAATTTGCGCATGAAGGCTTTGTCGTTTTGTTTTGATAAAATGCCCGACATAACTTGAATTGCAACACCATTCCTGAGGAATTTTCAGCGTAAGATGGAATTTCTCTTTGCTTCACAAACCAACGAGCCGCGTTAGAGAGTTAAGTGAGTGAAGCAAAAATATTTCGTCGTTTCAGAAAATGATTTTCTAAACGGTGGACCGCAATGGAGAAGACCACTTGTTTTGAGGCTTTCAACTTCTTGGGGAGATAACCTTTTCATGTCGTCAACAACACTGAAGAGATACTTCTTCTTTCGGAGCAAATGAGCCGCAAACGTTGACAATTTATCCAGCGTTTTCTCTGGAGGGGCTCCTTTCGTTCTCCTATGTGTTCTGAGAAACCTGTTGATCACTTCCGAATAGATGTCACCCATGCTGACAGGAAGAGCATCAGTGTTCATCGATTCATTTAATATGTACTCAAAATATGAGCACATCAGAAAACACAGAACTGGAATATGGGCAAAGCTAACAAGATTTTCATTCTTTGTGATGTGATCCATTACAGCATTCTTCAAGACTTCGTTTTCTTTGAAATACTTTTCGATGTATTTCTTCACCCGTTCCTCGGAAAACCCTGTAATTTCAACGAACCGATCAAAGGGTATTTTACCTGTCATTTCATCGGATTCATCGGGCCTTGGCGTTATCATGACAACCGAATCTTTCAAGATTTTTCCTTTGATTAGCTTGGCACACAGTGCTGCTACTGGCATTTTCTCTTTGGCGCTA